CATGATAAGATTACTAAAGATACCTATAAATATATTTTGGACAATGCACGTAAGAGTCTTTTTGGATGGAAGACTACCAGCTTGTCTATGGCTGGCAAGCTTACCCTCGTCAAATCTGTGCTCGTGGCAATCCCGGCCTACGCCATGTAAACTGTTGCTTCCCAGCTCTCTATGTGATTATATTGACCGGTTAGTACAGGACTTCATTTAGGGCTCCTCAAGTGGTGCGAGGAAGATAAGTCTCGTTAGCTGGCATGATATGTGTCAACCTATCTCGTATGGGGGTAATAGTATCATGAACCTTAGGAACCTCAATAAAGCATTTTTTATGAAAATTTGCTTTAATATTATTGCTCAGCTGCATCTCATTTGGGTTAAGGCTCTACAGCAAAAGTATAAGTGGGATCTTCTGGATAATGAGACCAAATAATCTGGTTCTTGCTCCGACATTTGGAGGAAGTTAAGTAGCATTTGGGAGGATGTCCACTTAAGGTTGGCTTAGCACATCGATGACGACATGACGGTGCAGTTCTAGAAGGATAATTGGTTGAGAGGTTGCGGGCCACTTAAGCTCCCTGCCTATCAACCCCTTGATGATTTTAGTAAAGCTCAAATGCTTAGGGATCAGGTCACTCGGCATGATCAGTGGAATTGTCACTGGTTATAGAACAGGCCCCGTCTCCTCGGATGGTAAGTTTTCTGTCAAAACTGTTTATCATATGATTACTGACACTTATTCTCTTTTTATAGATATGAGTTGGAGTCTAGCGTGGAGTTGGTCGGGCGTACAGCATATTCGGCATTTCTTGTGGCTGATTCTTAGGATAGGGCTACTTTATAGTGCGGAGAGGTCCGACAGTATATGGCGGATGATCCGGGTTGCATGGTGTGTGGACGCGGCATTGAGAACGTCAACCATGTCCTGAGAGAGTGTTATCAAATACAAGCTCTATGGTAGAAGATTATTCTGTGAACGGCCACTCACACATTCTTTAGCATGACTTTTGACGATTGGCTCTGCATTAACTTACAAAATCAATATAAGTGGTGCTCTTCCTTTTAGGATTAGAGGACGGTTTTTGGTATCACCTACTGGTTATTATGAAAGCAACGAAACACCCTAGTCTTCAATGGTCAACCGCTCAGTGTGGATAAGATGAGACAAGACATTTTCAGGATTATAGAGTATACATTTTAGGCCTCCAACTTTAAATCCAATATGTCAGACCGCCATAACCAGAAGAATGAGAGGTTAGTCAGTTGGCATTCGCCTCGCCTGGACTGGATCAAGATCAACATAAATGGGGCCCTTCGCAAGAATAATGACTTTGCATGTGCTGGTGCGTTGGGTCAGGATAGTGTTGGACATTGGCTCGGCAGCTGGCTCCGAAAAAGTGGGTCTTGTTCTATCCTCCAAATGGAGCTTTGAGGTGCCTTAGAGGGGCTCAAGTTTGTTTGAAACTTCAGATCACGTCGTGTTATCTTGGAGGTGGATATTGCCCTTACTGTTTAACTTCTGAACAAGATGATCAATAATGAGACGGTTGTCACAAATGCAAATTCCAACCTCCTACTCGCAATTAGAACTTGGCTCATGAAAACTTGGATTATTAGGGTACAACATACATACCGGAAGAGTAACAGAGGTGTTGATTACTCGGCGAACCTGAGTTATGACGAGTCCATGGGGGGTCAATCTTTACTGTAAGCCCCTCCTGGGCTCCTGAGCATTCTCTGTGAGGATATATTTATTGTTTCCTGACTCATACTGTGTAATATCCATGTTTAATTGTTTTCGTTAGCTCATTGGGTTGTTTTCTCTTTTATAAAAAAAAAAAAAGACATTCACCAGGCCTCTCTTAAAATATCCATCTCATTCATATTCCAAATCTCTCTATTTTAATTCTTTATATATATATATATATATATATATATATATATTCATGCATGTACAAGTATATATTTCTGCGTATAAGTTTGTTATTTGTAAAGCTCGAGGTTTTAACTTCTTTACAAGCTGTTCTCTGATGCTACTGCTATGGATGAAGACTTCAAATTTTTGGGTGTTTGATGCATGTAACAATTGACCACAATGCTTAAAAGGAGAAATTTCTTGCTTTTAAAAATTTAAAGGGTTATGTGTTTTTCTCCAGGGAAAGAGAAAGAAAGACAAGGAAGAAGAGAAATGGAAAAAGAAAATTTGAAGAGCTTGTTTGGGAGGCGAGAAAATGGGAGGTCGTTTTGTTAGGTGATGTGCGAGGAGGAGAACAAACAATTGGAATTGGAATTATCGATGACGTTTGGAATGAGGTAGTAATGGAAGCTCTGGGGAGAAGAAGGTCGTTTAGGAACTTAGGAAATTAAGAATTAAATTTATTTATTTATTTTTTAATTTTTGATCGATTAAGACTGATAGAAAATTTTATTTATAAACTAGTCTGAATCGATCTATTTTAAAATTATTTTAATATCATGTAAGATATTATATGACATTTAACGTGATATCTAACTAACATTCGAATAAATTATAAAGTGTCACACGTTAATTTATTTATTGACACACGACATCTAAATTAATAATCTTAACACCTCGGCAAACTATCTCTGCATTGTGAATTCGAGCTCTATATTATGTATCTTTGTTCGTTTGTATCTTTTACCTAAAATAATTACTGGGTCCCACTTTTTGGGTGACGTAAAAATTAAATGTATAAAATTTAAAAAATATTAGAGATAAATTTATATAAATAAATATTAAATATAAAAGAAAAGCATAGGATACTTGGTAATCACTGTCCAATAAGCAATAGCAGCCAGAATTGGGTCAGGGCCCACGCCTGCAAAACCCATGGGCCCAAACCCTATTCCAGTCACTTCAATTTTCGGTCCCACCACCCCTCTCATCCCACCCTAACCAAATGAATTATTGAATACTTTCATCTCCGTATATATACATATATCAATCTATCTATCTATACATATATTACGTCATCCTTCATCATTAAAAAAAAACAAACTCATATACAAAACGACAAAATAGTATATTCTTACAGGTGCAATAATATGTTATAGTATTTGTAGTTTTGATGGATTAAAATATTATTTGTGTTGGTGGATTAATTTTGTTATTATTAAATTATTAAATTAAATGGGAAACAAAAATAATTAAAAATAAATTAAGTGGGATTTTGATTAAAATTAAATAAAAATAAATTAAATCCAACAAATATATATATATATATATATTACAGAATTATATCCTAAAAATACCATATATTTTTTTTTCTGAGTAAATATTTTTTTTACGGAAAATAATAA